TTTTAGACTGATCTAGCAGAACTCTGCGCTGAATGTGAAAAATATATTGGTACACAAGGAGGTAAATTCAATTAGAATTTTTTATTTGAATTTTGTTAATAATTTTTGTTTTTTTTATCAAGGTGGAATGGATCAAGCAGCATCTTGTCTTGCACATAGTGGTTCAGTATGTTTTATATTGTTTCTTATTAATCATCTATTATTCTTATTATAAAGGCAATGTTAATTAGTTTTAATCCATTGAAAATCGAAGACATAACTTTACCAGTTGGTTGTGCTTTTGTTGTAACACATTCCTTAACTGAAGTTAATAAAGCGGCATCAGATCATTTTAATACACGTGTATCTGAATGTCGATTAGCGACTCAAGTATTGATAAAACATATTTTATAATTGATTTTTAATCGAAAGTTTTTTTTTGTTGTTCATTTAAAAGATATTAGCTCATGCAAAAGGTCTTGATTGGCGTTCAATTCGTAAACCATATGAATTACAAAATGCTCTTGGTTTTACAATAAATGAATTGGAAAAATTTGCAATAGATACACTTCATGAAGTACCTTATACACTTGATGGAATAGCTGGTTTATTAAATGTAACTGTTGATGAATTAATTAGTATTAGTTTAAAAGCAAATATAAATCGGAGTATGCATAAATAAATATTCTTTTTAAAACTATATTTTGAATTTAAAAATAATTTAGAACAAAAATTTGAATTATGCAGACGTATAAAACATGTTCTTAGTGAAGCTAATCGTGTTTTACTTTTTAAACAAGTATGTGATTCAAATACACACGATCGTCTTGAAACACTCGGAGAACTAATGAATCAAAGTCATAATAGTTGTGCGAGATTATATGAATGTAGTAGTGATGAACTTGATCAATTAACTGATATATGTCGGTATGTATATTCATTTTTTGCTTCTTAGTGAGAGATACTTAGGGATATCCAAAAGTAGTGACAGTAGTACTTTAATTCCTTATAAAAAGCTTGAAGAAACTTTTTCTCTGGATGGATTGATAGTAAAAACGATGCTCTATTTTTCTGTTATATGTGATGGTTATACTAATGCCTATTTCAACAAACGGTGGAGCGAATATTTTTTGAATAACTTCTGATAGAAACAAGATAGAGAGTTGCTGCTTTCATCGTTCGAAAGAGGAGACAAAGATGTATCGAATCGT